GAACCCAAGGTTTCGCAACACGGATTTTCAACAAAAGCGTGCGCGCGCGCGCTCTTGCGTCGTCGTCGTCGTCGTCCTCCCTCCTCCCTCGTCGTCGTCGTCGTCGTCGTCGCCGTCGTCGTCTTCTGTCTTTCCTCGTCGTCGTTGTCGTCGTCTTGGCGTCGTCGTCGTTTCCGTCGTCGTTGTCGCCGTGGTCGTCCTTCCTCCCTCGTTGTCTTCGTCGGCGTCTCGTCGTTGTCCCTCCTATTTCGTCGCCGTCGTCGTCGTCGTCGTCGTGGTCTTCACTCCTCCCTCGTCGTTATCCTCCTCCCTCGTCGTCGTCGTCGTCCGTCGTCGGCGTCTCGTCGTCGTCCTTTCATTTCGTCGCCGTCGTCGTCGTCTTCGTCGTCGTTGTCATCGTCGTCGTCTTCCCTCCTCCCTCGTCGTTGTCGTCGTCGGCGTCGCCGTCCTTCCTCCTTTTTCGTCGTTGGCGTCGTCGCCGTCTTCCCTCCTCCATCGTCGTTGTCGTCGTTGTCGCCGTCGTCGTTTTTTCTCCTCCCTCGTCGTCGTCTCCGTTGGCGACGTCGTCATCGTCTTCGTCGTCGTCGTCGGCGTCGTTGTCGTCGTCGTCGGTGTCGTCGTCGTCGTTGTCGCCGTCGAAAACATTGGAGACGTCGTCGGTGTCGTCGCAGTCGCTGTCGGCGGCGCCGTCGTCGTCGATGTCGCTGTCGTCGTCGGCATCGGTGTCGTGGCCAAGTGCCATGTGGTACCTACCGTCACGGTCTTGTCTGAAGAGGTCTTGCGACCAAGTTGCGGGTGGGAGGGTGGGATGTTTGCACGAGCAGTGGAGAGGACAGCTTCAAGACGGTCAAGATTAATTGCACCACGTAGATTGTTCCGCATAGACTGCACAACGTAGATTGCGCACCACAGATGTTGCACCACACCACATAGATTGCACAACATCATTGGGAACGCCTGACGCGGCGTGGACGACGACGCTGACGCTATGGAGCCTTGATTGGGGCTACCTTGGGGGCCTCTTGGGCTCTGTTGGGGCTGGGGCCAGGGCCGGGGTCGGGGTCGGAGCCGAGGCTGGGGCGGGGGCCAGGGCCAGGGCCGGGGCTGGGGCCAAGGTTGGCGGGGCTGGGGCCAAGGCTGGGTCGGGGGCCCGGGTCGGGGCCGGCACCCCCGGCTGGGGCTAGGGGCGGGGTTGCGACCAGAGCTGGACCTGGGGCCGGGGCTGGAGGGGCTGAGGCGGGTGGAGGGTCCTGGGCTCTCCTGTTGGCAGGGAGACCACCCCCTTGTCCCCCTTCTCCACGGGGGACCGTTTGGGGGGAGGGGTAACGACCCCCATGACCCCCGCCGGGCCCTTCCCCCCGGGACCAACGACCACACCATAAGGATCGGGCCTTTTGAAATCAGTTATACAAACCGAAGCATTGGCATAACATCAAGCATTCAGTGTGTACCTCGTCTTCTGGCACCCTAACTGCAATACATACCTCATTTTAGTACGATGTGAGCCATATCTCGTCTACGCGCATCCACTACTACTATTAGTTTCTCCACCAGAGTATGTTCAAATGCTAACTTACATATTAGCGCAATACTAATCTCGTATTGCGTCCATCATAAATGTAGCACGCGTGGATAGTAGATGTGTTTCCGGCCGACCTAAGAGTTGGAAGGTATCAGTTTTTGAATTATGTTACATGCATGCTAGAGTCACCTTACAGGTCCATCAGGCTTATTCCAGAGTGATTCAGCGCGTGCCTTAGATTCGTCGCAGACGCACGTCAAAGTCGTGTTTGAAGTTTACAGTCCATCTTCAATTGGTCTCACAACTTTTGCAGAATTACAGCAAAAATAGTTTGTTCTGTCCTGGGCCCGCGACTCTGGAATCTAAGCGAAAGGCGCGCACGTTGGTTATTCGCATGTGAACATGGGAATAGTGTCGGTGATAACGAATGACAAGCTTGTTTCGGACCCTCGAGGGGGAGGGCCCACGCGGGTTTCCCCGGCGTTTCGGCGCCGCCCCCATCGGCGCCCGCGGGGGGGGGCGGGGTCGCGCGGGAAGGAGGTGGTCTGCTGCGCGAGGGGGCCGAGGGCGCGCTTTGTTTCTCCGCCGAGGGGGCCCCGACGCGCCTCCCGCCAGCCCCGCGAACTCCCCCCCCCCAGCGAAAGGGCGAGGAAGAGGGCGAGGGAGAGGGGGGGGGCGCGGGAGGGGGGGGCTCACCACAGCAACGACGATCGTACCAGAGCCAGCTTGGCTTCAGGAATTCACGGCCAAGGATCGGAAGCCTGGCGAGGTTGCCAACCCACGTGTTCGGCAGGACCAAATTCGCACAATTTTATGCAGCGCGTCAGCGCGCAGCGACGCCAGTCGCGGCGGGTGCGTCGGCACCGCCATTGCAATCGTTTCTAGAAGTCGGTTCCGAGAACTGCATCTGACCCACGGCCGAGGCCGAGGCGCCCGTGACCAGGGCAATGAGCGACCGCGAAGAGATGCGCCCCACGCGCTGCAGGACGCGCCAGGCGACGGAGGCGCCCAAACACGCCAGGCCGCGCTTCGACACGCGGCGGTTTCGCAAAACGGGGGGCCGACGGCGAGAGGACGACTCCAAGAGGCAGGGGGCCATGTTCCAAGACAGGCGGGGGCTCCATGTTTGTTTTTTGTTGGAAGGCCCGCGAGCGCGATTTTCCCTACTCCAACCACTCTGTCCGCAGCGTTTCCAGCCCTTGGTGTTACGAACTTCCCGTACTGAGCTGAAAAATAGGAGCACTAACTTGAGGTGGGGGGGGCTCCTGATCTTGCAGGGGCAAAACGGAAGTGCCGATCGGAGCTTTTCGGACCGAGAGCAATCGGCCGACAGTCGGGGGGACGGTGCTTGCAGGGCGAGCGCCCGCCTGGGTGCGTAAGGAGTTGTCCTCCTCTTCCCCCACCCCCTTTGCCCTGGCCGCCATCCCTCCCCTGTCCTCCCCTTCGTCCTCCCATGCTGCCTCTTAGGCTAAGCATGCCCCTTGGGTAGGGGGTCGATCCCCTTCGAGTTGGCTCATTTCCCCTGGATTTTGCAGTGGCCTCGGGCGTTCCCCTTTTTTCAGAATGTCGGCGTGATAAGTGCGTCGTAAGTGCGGCAAGATAGTAATTGATTAAACGGAAATAGATGGGGAAACCTAGGCTCAATCCAGAAACCCGCCCCGAGAATGTATTCAAGACTTCCTCTGCCCGCCCCTTAGATTTACCAAAGTGTTTTTGTTCGCCACGCCCCTTAGATTTACTTTAGTTTGTGCTTTGGAGGCCCCGGAAGTTCCCCTGCGAAACCCAACGTTCGTTACCTTAGATGCTCGCCTCAAATTAGCGCATGTGAACTTGAATCCCCCCTTGCCTTTCCTGGCAGCACTTACGCCTTACCTAAACTTCATCGCATGCACCTTGGAAACGTACAGCTTAGCTTTGCTCCGGAAATTTAAGGGGCCCTGGTCTATAGGCAGAACCTCCCCGCCCAGAGGACCCCCCCATGCAGGGAAGGGTTCAAAGGGAACGGATTCCTCTCGGATCAATTACGGCGTTGTCGATTTTCCGTATGGTTGGATTGAGGAGGAGGGCCCAGGGAGGGGGTGAGCGGGAGGACGACGAGGAGGACGAGGAGGAGGACGACGACGACGATTCAAACGGAAAGACGTCTGACACATTCCGAAGGGTCGGCGGGTTTGCATCAGATCTGTTGCTCCAGCTATATTGCGCGACGTAGATTGTGCAACATAGACTCCTCAACCTATATTGCACCACGCATAGAGGCACACATCTAGTGTACAACCTACACTGTACCACTTATATTGCACCACCTCGGGTGCACCACATGGGTTGCACAACCTACATTACACAACATCGAATGTACAACATAATACTGCACAAATTGGGTTGCAACACATAAATTGCACAACGTATCTACGCAACAAGTATAGTACCACATAGATTGCACAGCACATAATGCCAGAAACACACGGTTTGCTGTCCACGCTGGCGAACATTGTCTTGAACGTTTCAAGATATAGTTGTCAAAAGCATGCGAAACAAAACCATGTATATGTTAACAGATCGGTTGTAGAATGCTTGAATTTATGCGCGCGCATTTGCTCATCACCCTTATCAGTTTCATCGCATCACCGCCGTTTTCGTCATCGTCAAATGCCGCCCTGGTTGCCATCATCATCACCACAGTCACCACCATCACCGACACATTGACATCATCACCGACATCGTCGTCACCAGCATCAGCGCCGTCAGTGGCATTGCCGCGGTCACCGACATCATCGCCACCACCATCGCTATGATCATCATCGTTGCCGTCATTGTCGATGGCATCATGATATCGCGCCCGCCCGAGTCACCAACCCGTTCTGAAGTGCCCGTGCGCTAAAGCGGACTTTGAGACGCGTTGGGAAGTTCCCATCGGTAAGCGCTATCGCGGCCGCATCAGTTGCGCCATGTCAGTTGGTCGCTATGCGCGCGAGCGTGCGCGCGCCACCGCGGCCGCACAGACGCGCTAGCCAGCTCCAATCGGGACCTCAATCGTGGCCGCAAGGGTTTTGTGGAACAAGTTGCGTGTAAGAGGGTGGGATGTATGGTGAGCATTGGCACGAACGACTTCAACTCTTTCAAGGCGGATTGCACGACATGGGCTAACCACGTACACTACGCCACGTAGACTACTCCACCGTAACTGCACCACACAGATTGCGCTGCATTGCTTGCACCACATAGATTGCACGACATAGCCGGCACCACGTAGATTGCACCACATTGGTGGCAGTTGGCATCCTATACACGCAGGGTGCAACAGCTCATGTTTTGCGATGTTTGCTGGACCCAGTACACGCATTGGTGCAATATCCTGGTATCAAGGACCATCGGGGTCGTCAGGGCGCCCCTCGATGTGCCAGATGCGCGGTGCCGGGTGTTCCGCCAGCATGTCGGAAACCATTATTTGAAACCAGCATGTCTTGGAGCCTCAAAGGTCTGTCCATGAAGATAGCGGCGTTCGTGCTTCTGCTCGTCGTCGCCGCGCAGGAGGGTCACAGCTTTTACGGCTGCAAGGACAACGATCCCATATTTACGACAGAGGGCGACGGTGCCTTCAAAACAAAAGGCAGCGGCGGCGGCATGATTCTTGTTGTCGCTTGCGCTTTTTCCGTCAGAGTTGATCTCTTCGCACATGTACACGGGTCATGGCTGCCCTACATGGCGAGACCAATTTTCACCTGATGGTCCCTCTAACTCGTGGTCCCCCGACGCTTTACCTATACCCCTCTGGTGGCGCCGATGCACATTTGCACCCCGCTACAGCCTAATCCATGGCCGTTGTTTGCTGCCTGTGAAGCCACCGATGGCCGCTCAGCGGTGCGCAGAGGGGCCCACGAGAGCTTCGCTCGCGAGAGATCGCAGGGCTGACCTCGTCGCGTTCGGCGGGAGCTGGCTGAAGACGGCGGGAATAAGACATTGACGGCTCCGTTGGCGGAGGCAGGCGAGAGTCTCGCGGAGGCCAGTGGGAGTGAAAGATGCACCCCCAGAAGATGCCATTGCGTTGTTGATCCAGGGCTTCCCGAGCTGGCCAGATGTTCATTGCTTGCATCTCACTGCTGTGCGGCAATCCGTCCCCGACCATCCTCTGCTGTTGGGTTCTCGCGCTTTTCCGCTGTGCCGCGGGTCTCTTCTCCTCCTTCCTACCCATCCCCCCTCCCCTTCCTGCCGCGTCTGCTGTTGCTGCTGCTGTTGTTCCCACCCCTCGCTGTGCTGGTCCCAACCTGGGTGCTCGTGTTGAATCAGCTCCGCCGCGCGTCTCCCTCAGGGAAAACGTTAGGGGGAGATGAAATTCAGGGAGAAACGCATCGGCCCCCAATCGCCCACCGATCGCCGACACAGGTCCGATAGCCCGCCCCCGCCCAGGACCGTGCGGTTTGGCTGTCGGGGGCCCATCGCAGACCTATCGGCGACGCATCGCCGAGATGTTTCTCCCCCTGAGCCGGTGCCCCCCCCTTTTCGTTGCCCCTCACCTCCCTCCTCCTCCCTCCTCCCCTCCCCTCCCCTCCCGCTGCTGCTACGCTTCTGTCTGCATGTTGCTGCTGCCGCCGAACAACTGCTGCGCCGCCCCGTTTCGAATTCGGCATACACGCACACACACACACACACACACACACACACACGCACACGCACAAACGCACACGCACACGCACACACGCACACGCAAACACGCACACACGCACACGCACACACGCACGTACGCACGCACGCACACACGCACACGCACAAACGCACACACACACACACACACACACGCACGCACGCACGCACGCACGCACACACGCACACGCACAAACTCGCACACACACACACACACACACACACACACACACACACACACACACACACACACACACACACACACACACACACACGCACACACACGCACACACACACACACACACACACACACACCTCGCGCAGATCGTGCCCCACAGGGAGCTCCACCAAGGGCCTCGGTGGGTGTATTTGCATGCGGTTCCCGTGGCAATTTCGGCACAATCCGCACCTTAAATCGTGGGCCCCCGAACGTGGTGAGTCAATGAGGATTCGGGGTGACCGCACGATTTTTGAATTGGTCGTTCTCCGAGGATGTCTCGGGCGGCTGGGATCCCCAATACACATGTTCTCTGTTGAATGCAGGTAGCAAATGAAAACCGGAAAGTCAGGGAGCCAGAACGGCTGCCAACCTATGTTTTTCCCAACCATCCTGTGGTGTTGGGTCCTCGTTTTGAAGAGACGGTGCCCCGCGTTCCTCCTTCCTTCCTCCCGCTGCCCCCTCCCTCCCCCTTGCCTCTGCCCTCCGCATGTCTCTGTTTCGGCACATCCCTCACGCGTTCCGTGGCCCCATAGGGAGCTCCACCGAAGGCCCCAGTGGCAGGGTCCGCATGGCGGCCCCGCATTTTGGCGCACCCCTCACACGGTTCGTGGCCTCATAGGGAGCTCCACCGAAGGCCCCAATGGCAGGGTCCGCATGGCGGCCCCGCATGTTGGCGCACCCCTCACACGGTTCGTGGCCCCGCAGGGAGCTCCACCGAAGGCCCCAGTAGCAGGGTCCGCATGGCGGCCCCGCATTTTGGCGCACCCTTCACACGGTTCGTGGCCCCATAGGGAGCTCCACCGAAGGCCCCAATGGCAGGGTCCGCATGGCGGCCCCGCATGTTGGCTTGCCCCTCACACGGTTCGCGGCCCCATAGGGAGCTCCACCGAAGGCCCCAGTGGCAGGGTCCGCATGGCGGCCCCGCATTGGGGCGCACCCCTCACACGGTTCGTGGCCCCATAGGGAGCTCCACCGAAGGCCCCAGTGGCAGGGTCCGCATGGCGGCCCCGCATTTTGGCGCACCCCTCACACGGTTCGTGGCCCCATAGGGAGCTCCACCGAAGGCCCCAGTGGCAGGGTCCGCATGGCGGCCCCGCATTTTGGCGCACCCCTCACACGGTTCGTGGCCCCATAGGGAGCTCCACCGAAGGCCCCAGTGGCAGGGTCCGCATGGCGGCCCCGCCCCATGTTGGCGCACCCCTCACGCGGTTCGTGGCCCCATAGGGAGCTCCACCGAAGGCCCTAGTGGCAGGGTCCGCATGGCGGCCCCGCCCCATTTTGGCGCACCCCTCACACGGCTCGTGGCCCCATAGGGAGCTCCACCGAATGCCCCAGTGGCAGGGTCCGCATGGCGGCCCCGCCCCATTTTGGCGCACCCCTCACACGGCTCGTGGCCCCATAGGGAGCTCCACCGAAGATGATGCCCACAATTGCGGTATTAACAATTACTTATGGTTGGGTCTTTCGCCAGGCTAATTTGAAGTCGGAATGTTCGTGTGGGCACGCATTGCATAACAGCTAGTGAATACGGAAGGGATTATGGAATGTACAGTATTGGGAGTTGCACTTTCGCAGTATTCTCAAATGCGTTTGGGTACGTCGGGGCTCCCGATTCCTCACCTGCGGGACCCCATGTGCGCCCCGACCGATCAGACACTGCAGAATGACTTACGATTGGTGATCTTCGTCCTCCTCCTCCCCCATCACCCCCTCCTCCTCCATACCTGCTATCCTTCTTTAGTCCTCCCTCCTCCGTCCCCCACCGTCCGTCATCCAGGTATCAGTGGTACCAGTTACTAGGAGTTGGAGACATGTGGCGTGACCGGCCAGAGCGAGAGCTTGAATGACATGTGTCCTTCCAGCGTTCGGCCCGTGTATGTCCAGGCGCAGTGATCCTCCACATTTGTAGCCTCCGTACGCTCCTCATGTGAATCCAGCCGTTTGTGTGCTTCCAGCTTCCCGGTAGACGCCCCTTTGCATACGCAGGCATGGTTGGCACGATGCGCAGAATTATCCTGGCGAAGGACACAACCATAAGGTAGTTGTGAGTACCGCCGTTGCGAGAACCGGCTTCGGTAGAGCTCCCTACGGAGCCACGGAACGCGTGAAGGGAGCGCACAAATGGGGCGGGGCCGCCATGCGGGCGCTGCCGTTGGGGCCGCCCGCAGGGGGCGCGGAGGTCAGACGAAACAGGTTACATGCTGATGTAACCCGTTGCGGCTGACAGGCATCAGGAGAAGTGGGAGAAGACATGTGGGCGCATCCACCGGAGCTTTACGTGGAGCTTCCGTTGTGGCCACGAAGCGCTGGAGGGGTGTGCCAACGTGGTGGGTGTGTGGCGGCATGCGAACGCACCCATTGGGGCCTCAGGTAGAGCTCCAAATGGGGCCACGAAACGTTTGAGGGGTTTGCCAAACTGAGGGGGGGGGGCGACATGCCAACGCAGCCGCTGAGGCCTTCGGTGGAGCCCCCTATGGGGCCACGAAGCTTGTGATGGGTGTGCCAAAGTGAAGGGGGGCGGCATACCAGCGCAGCCACTGAGTCCTTAGGTGTAGCTCCCTACTGGGCCACGAAACGTGTGAGGGGTGTGCCAAAATGACGAGGTGGCGGCATGCGAACGCAGCCACCTGGGAGCTTAGGTGGAGATCCTTTAAGGCCACGAAGCGTGTGAGGGGTATGCCAAAATTGAGGGGGGGGGGGGGGGGGCGAACGCAGCCACTGGGGCCTTCGGTGAGCTCCCTGTTGGGCCACGCACGAAACGCGTGCGGGGTGTGCCAAAGTGAGGGGGTTGGCGGCATGCGAACGCAGCCACTGGGGTCTTCGGTGGAGCTCGCTATAGGGCCACGAAACGTGTGAGAGGGGTGCCAAAGTGAGGGGGGTGGGGCGGCCTGCGAACGCAGCCACCTGGGCCTTCGGTGGAGTTTCCTATGGGGGGCACGAAACGCGTGAGGGGTGTGCCAAAGTGAGGGTGGTGGCGGCATGCGAACGCAGCCACTGGCGCCTTCGACTGAGCTCCCCATGGGGCCACGAAACGTCTCAGGGGTGTGCCAAAGGGTCGGGGGTGTCGGCATGCGAACGCACCCAATGGCGCCTTCGGCTGAGCTCCCTGTGGGGCCACAGAACGTGTGAGGAGTGTCCGATGGTGGTGGCGGCATGCGAACGCGGCCACTGAGGTCTTAGATGGAGCTCCCTATGGGGGCCTCGAAACGTGTGAGGGGTGCGCCAAACTGAGGGGGGTGGCGACATGCCAACGCAGCTTCTGGGGCCTTAGGTGGAGCTCCCAATGGGGCCACGAAACGTGTGAGGGGCGTGCCCAAGTGATGGGGGTGTCGGCATGCGAACGCAGCCACTGGCGCCTTAGGAAGAGCTCCCACTGGAGCCAAGGAACGTGTGAAGGGTGTGCCACAGTGACGGGGTGGCGGCATACCAGCGCAGCCATTGAGTCCTTGGGTGTAGCTCCCTATGGGGCCACGAAACATGTGAGGGGTGTGCCAAAGTGAAGGGCGTGGCTGCGGACCAACGCAGCCACTGGGGCCTTAGGTGGAGCTCCAGGAGGAGGAGGAAGAGGAGGAGGAGGAGGACCAGTGCAAACCCGGGATGCATTAACGATGTTGAAATACACCCTCCCTCCAAGATCACTCTTCACAGGCCCCTACAAGAGGTCATTTCCGCTGAAGGAATTGCCCCTTTGGGGGACAACCGTGAGAACATTTTGCAGCGTGCCCAAAACACCAGTTCCAGGACTTCAACGCCACGAGGCAACCTGACTGTTACGTCGTGGTGCTCCTGAGTCGTGCCAGGACACCGCTCCTGGAACTTCAACACCGCGAAGCCACGTAACTGCTGCACCCTGGCAACCTTGAGCCGCTCCAAAACATCATGTCTGGTACGTTAACCATGAGGATAGATAAATCGGCTGCAAATGTCTAAAACGAAGATGCGCGGCGCTAAGGCGAGAGCCACAGTTTGGAAAGGAACCGCCCTCAATCCGTGAAGCTCTTGCACCCTTTTAAAACGAATGTGCGCAGCGCTCTGGCGAGAGTCACATTTTCAAAACCACCCGTCTTCAATCCGTTAAATGTTTGTAATTTGCTTCTACGAACGTGCGCAGCGCCAGGGCGAGAGCTACAGTTTGAAAACCACAGGTCTTCAATCCGTGAAGCCCTTGCATTTGTTCCATGAATGTGCGCAGCGCTAAGGTGACAGCTACATTTTGAAAACCACCCGCCCTCAACGCGTGAAACCATTGCAAATGTGTAGGACGAATGCGCGCGGCGCCAAGGCGAAAGCCACATTTTGAAAAACACCCGCCCTCCATATTTGAAGCTGTTGTCATTGTTTAAGCATCCGCATTATAAATAGTGAGGAAACTCTGGCGAATCGCCCGGCCGCCCTTTCGACCAGCCTCGGGGTGCGACAGACGAGTTATCTGTAAGGAAAAGAGATGGAGGGGGCTGCGCGCGATGGCCTCGCGGGGCTGTGGATGGAGGACGGGGAGGAGGAGGAGGAGGAGGAGCAGGAGGAGAAAGAGCAGGAGAAGAAGGAGGAGGAGAGCACTCGACACGCGGACCCTACTGAGTACCCCATACTGGGGCTTCATCCGCGGCCTCAGTGGGTATGTTTGCATGTTCTGGCAGACTTTTCCCGTGGACCGCACCCAACAGGGGGCTGCACCCACGGCCTCGGTGGGTGTTTTTGTACGTGGTCCCCCCCGCCAATTTCGGCATACTCTTCACGCGGACCGCACCCCACAGGGGGCTCCACCTACGGCCTCGGCGGGTGTGTTCGCATGTGGTCCCCCCGCCCATGCCTGCCGCTGCCACCACGTCACCACCTGGGCGGTGCGCGGACGCGGCCCTTGTTTCAACCCAGCATGCCGTTCATATGTCTCGTGCCCCATGGGGAGGGCACAAGATACGGCCCAAACGAGGGCGCGCGCACATGCGGTCCATTCGCTGAATCGGGCACGCACACACACACACACACACACACACGCACACACACGTTGAGCGCACGGACGAGACGGGCTCCAACCTCTTCGAGGTCGAAGGCACGCACACACACACACACACACACACACACACACACACACACACACACACGCACTCACTTTTTGGCGCCGGGGCCCCGCGCGTAGCGACGAGGCGTGGAAAGTCAAGAGGCTAGAGATCATAATGGCGGACGCACGCGGCCGGGCCCTCAAAGGAAGCGGCAGGGATCACACACACACACACACACACACACACACACACACACATTCGCGCGTGCGCACGCACGCGCACGCGCAAGCATCACACGTTTCGCGCCCCACAGGGAGCCCCAGCTATTACCTCAGCGGGGCTGCGCGCGGGGTCTCGCGCAATTCGGCGCACCTCTTGCACGTTTCGTGCTAGAGACACGGATGTGGCGAGCAAGAGAAGTAGCACATCGAAAGATAAGAGGACCCGAGAGGGTGAGAAGAGAGGAGGGAGGAATCGGGAGGAAGGAGCAGTTCGTGTTTAATCTAAACCGAGAACCAAACACTGGATGGGTGAGGCAAAACTACCCTATGCCCCCCTAGTGTTGGTCTTCCATGGCGCAGCACGTCCCCTCCTCCAGGGTTTGTCACAACTTGTGGGGCGAATCTACGATTTTAATGTGCCGTCAGGTGAGTGCGCTATTGACAAGATGCTGCATCGAGGCAAGCTTGTATTAGAGTCCACCATTTGCAGCACATCGCTTTTTATTTGTATAGTTTGTGGTTTGGGATTCTACTTTGCTCGTGCGTCGTTCATCAGCGGCCACGACGAACGTGCAGTTATCGGGTTGATAAAGAAGGAGACCAAGTTCGCTTCAGATGAAGCGGCTCACGACGGTGAGCTCGCAAGAAAGGACATGAAAGCATGCGAGAGGTTCGCCAGAAGTTGGAAAGCCATTCCAGTGTATCTTCTGTTGGCAGCTCTTGTAGCTTTATTTGTCGTGTGGGTGAGCAACCCTTCGTCCGTAGAGGTTGCCGACAGTGTTGACGATGATGCGGACGGGATTGCGAAGAGGGAGTTCTCTTGGTGCTACGAGTCTAATTGTTGCAATGGCCTGTCGTCGCTATGTTCGCGTCGCTACGACCAGGTCGTTCACGCCACGAGTCATAATTCTTACAGCAGCACTGCAGACGGGTTCAACTTGGCGAACCACGAACAGTCGTTCAAGGACTCGCTCGAGGCAGGCGTTCGCGGTCTCAACTTCGATTTGGTAACAGAAGTCACTGGCGTAACAAAATGGTGCCATAAGTTTTGCACGCTGGGCCAGATGGATCTTGCCGTGGCGTTTACAATTAGTCAAGAGGCTTGCGCGATTCCGCTGGACCCAAGGCGAGGAGAGGAGATGTGCGCCCTCCGGGTTCGTATGTAGTGTTTGCCATTTCCCGTCGTGCTGCTTGCGTGTAGTTGTCACCGGTTCGTCCTCTTTCCTCCTCGTCTGTTGCGGGGCGTTTTGGGGGCCTCTCGGAGGGCTGGGGGATGGCCTCCTGGAGTTGTTGTTCAAGGCTCCCGAATCTGCGTGGGCCCTCTGGGGGCTTTTTGGGGGCCTCTTGGGGGTAAGTTGGGGGTCTTGGGGGCCATCTCGTGGGGGAGGCCTGCCAGGGCCCCTGTCTCTTGGGGCCTGCCTGAGGCGTTTATGCAGTCTCGGGGGCACCTCGGGCCGCCTTGGGGCCCTCTTGGGCCGCCTCCGGGCCCTCTGGGTGGCCTCTTGGGCCGTCTTGGGCCAGTCTGCGATGTCTTCGTCGTCCTCCTCCTCCTTCTGCTCCTCCTCCTCCTCCTCCTCCTCCTCCTCCTCCTCCTCCTGCTCCTCCTTCTCCTCCTCCTCCTTCTCCTCCTCCTTCCGTAGCCATTTTGGCTCAAGCCATTTTGGCTCAAGTTGCCATATCCTCAAGGCAGCTGGCCAGGTCAGAGCAGGGCTGCTCCCGACTCGGCCCGCGACACAGGGGTCGGGGGTTGACCCTTTTCGCGCACTGAGGCATTTTGCCACCCAAATTCTCTCTCCAGATTCGCGTCTCGCTTCCTGGCAGTGCAATGGCCGCTGCCGAGGTATCCAATGCTCAGTTGCTCCAGGTTCTCGAAGGAATGAACGGCGACATGAACGCCATGAGGGACGACATCAAAGATGTCAAAGAGCGTCTCGCCGTTGCAGAAGGACTTGAGGAGAAGATTTCCGATCTCGAGCTCGCCATGGAGGGCAAGTTCGAAGAGGCCAAGAATGCTCACCAAGCCCTCGTTCTCGACATGGACCTACGAGTTTCTCGACTCGAGCATGCCCATCAAGAAGCCGCCACCAACGCCGCCTTCTTTGGCACCGAGGACGGCAACCCCACCGCCAAAAACGCAGGGCTCGAGATTCAACGTCAGATGAATGAGAAAATGGCCAGACTCGAAGCGTCTCTTGCCGAACTCCAACGAGCTCCGTCCGATGCAGGCTCCGCTTCAACTCGGCCGCCATCCAAGTCTCGTCGCTTGGGAAGGGGCACCAGCGCTGGCTCCAGCGCTTCCGAGATCCCCGTGATCGACTTCGCCAACGACGAGCACAACCAGATCGACCCGACCAGACGGTGGATCAGCGGTTTTCCTCGCCCAGTCACCGAGCCGTATAGGCGCACAGTCTTCAACCAGATGAAAAGCCGACTTCTTGCCGCCATCAGCGAAGGGATGACAGGACATTTCCACAAAGTATCACAAGCGTTCGCCGTCACCTTCAATTTCGAGCAGAAGGCCCGCGACTTCCACGACTGGTTCCTCGCGAATCCCGTGACGTGGCAGGACTATCGCAACACCTCCCTTCATCCACTGCGCTGCCGCAGAGATATGCCGCTGCAGGCCCGCCAGAAGAACCGCGTCCTGAGCGCCCTCTGGCCGCTCGTCCGCAAGCACCTCGAGAACGCAGGCAAGTGGAGCCCGTCAATCAAGATCGGCACCAACCCGTTCAAAAGCGTGTTCAGTATCACCACCGAGAATGACCATTGGGAGATCTTCAAGCTGTCCGACGCCCCTGGAGGCATGTACGAGCTGAAGCCGATTAGCGACCAGCTCTCCGAGTGGAGCATCACCGAGACGACCGCCAACTGGATGGTCGAGCAGGCCCAGGTGTCCGTCCAGCAGTACTGAAGTGACGCCAGCCTAGTATCGTGTGCAAATTTTCTGTATTTTCTCGCTTCTTCGCTGCCTCTGTCGCCCGAGTCTTCTGCTCATTGTTCGCCTTCTCTGTCGAATGCTGTTTTTGGAGCCCAGCCGCCTTCGCCTGAGAACCCGGCCAGTTCTCGCCTCTCTTTTCCGCCGTCCCTGGCCAACGGTCGAGGTATTCGGATTGCTACATGGAACTGTCACACCCTGTTCGGCGCGGTCTCTGGGGACCACGACACTCAGGTCAAGACCTTCGATCGACTTACTAACCGAACTAGAGCAAACAATATCATTTGCTTACAAGAAACGCACGGCCATGAAGGGGATCGCGAGTCGTTGCGTACCGAGTTCCCTGGCTATGAATATTTATGTACGTTCTGCCCCGACAGTCACGCTGGCGGGAACGCGATCATGCTTGCTCGCTCTCTTCTCGTTCTGCTTCCTCAACATCAACATAATGTGATTATTCCTGGGCGTCTCCACGCCGTCACCATCCAGTCCGACTCTTTCTCGCTCACCATCTTGAACCTCCATCTCGACCCGAGATGCCGCCACAGAGAGAAAATAGGGGTCCTTCGCCTGTGCGCCGATTTTTTTGCACACTGCCCAGGGCCTCTTCTTCTTTGTTTGAGACTTCAACTTTTGCGAGCTGGGCGAGGGTACCCAGCGAGTAGACGGCTCTGTGCAGATCAACAGCCACGACTCCCTCGCCCACAAGTTCTGGTCGCTATTGCCTAACGTTATGGAATGCTACCAAGAGAATCCGACCCACCACACCACTCGGAATGGGAATGTGATTAGTGCATCCAGGATCGACCGTATTTATACCAATATGTTCACTGGGGATCTCTTGGATTTGAAACCGACCCCTGGGACCTCCTGGAATATTGGCAAAGCCGGCCTCCCGAGTGACCACGCCCCGGCGCACCTGCATCTGAACGGAGGCGGAGACAACCGCGCTCGGACCGTCGCCTCGTGGGTCTCTCGTCACCCTCTGTATCCGATCCTGCTCGAAAAGCTGATCAACGAGCACGGGGTATGCGAAGATAATCCGCCGCTGATGGTTGAAGAGCTCACGCGCCTTATGCACGAAGCAGGCCGTCTCGTCCAGCATCGCCTTTCCGAGCTTCCGCCCAGCTCCGCCGAGCAGCATTTGCAGTGGCTGTTCGCGGTGAATCGCGCCATGCGGAGCCACAAGATAAGCACGCTGAAGAAGGCTGTCAAGGCCATCCCCGCGTTGCTCAACTTTCTCGACCCTGACAGTGGCACGCGGCACAACCAGTCAGCCTTTCAAGAGTATATGGCCAAGATTGCTGCCGCTCGGTACCAAAAAGAATATGAGGAAATCATCGGACATACCACGGAATCCCCCCAGTTTCGCGAGCACCGAGCTGCGCGTCTTCAGAGATTGGCATCGGCCAGGTCTCCGAAGAATCGGAGAATATTCCTCGCGGGCATCACGGGTGCCGAGGGGAACGCTTTTCCGACTGCTGAGGCCGGGGCCCATGCTCTCGCCGCTCACTGGAGCCAAGTTCACGCCTCTGTTTCATCTCAGATTGCCGCGAGGGACCAGCTGGAGGAACATATTCAAAAAGTGAAGGGGGGCTCAGATTTGGAGTCTCTCTTAAGAACAGTTTTGCGGAGTTTTGGATCGGCTTCGCGATTCCGCCCCTGGCCCTGACGGGCTATGTTACCCTGCCTGGCCCAATGGGAACTTATTTGCTAGGTGGGCCGCCTACGCCATGTACCAGCACATCATGGATTTCGGCCAGGTTTCGGACGATTTCTACCTCAGCAACTCGGTCTTCCTCCCCAAAAGGTTCCCTGGACCGCGACGGATTCGAGCTCTGGAGGGCCCCTGAAATGACCCGTCCCATCTCCCTCTCCAACTCGATCAACAAAATTGTCGCTGTCGCGATCAACTGCCGCCTGAAAGAGGTTTGCGTGGACACCACTATTGGGACCCAAAGGGACTTCGTCAAACACCGTAACATGCTTGACACTCTGATTGAGTTCGAGACGCACATGGTCCTAGGAGCAGGTCTTTTGCGGCGACAGACTGCAGGCGCTATCCTGCTGGACATTAAGGCCGCCTTCCCCAGTTTATGCCATGATTGGATATTTTTCGTATTCGAGAAAATGAACTTTCCCGATTTGTACTGAATGCAATAAGGACGCTCTATGCCAAGGTTACCACCACCATTCTCCTGGGCGGGGTGTCTCACTGCTCTTGTCGGATCCTCCGCGGGATAAAGCAAGGATGTCCACTCTCGGGAAGCGTATTCGCCTTGGGGTTCGATCCGATTTTACGATTGCTCTGTCTTCGGCTGCCCCGACCTGTCCATTTGCACGGTGCCTTCGCCGACGACGTTGCCTCCGCCGCCTTTGACATCTACATGGCCGTGCCCATTTTCATGAAAGTTATGATGCTTGCGGGGCTCGCCGCTGGCCTCATCCCGAACCCCCAAAAAAAACGGTGATATTATTTTACCGCGACTTTAACACAGAGGAGGAGGAGAGGAAGTTCCAACGGCAGGGGATCAGAGTTCGGAGCTTCGGGATGTCCAAGTGTGCCAAGTATATTGGTGTGATGTGCGGGATCAGGGCCCAAGAGGAATATCGGGCCGCCCCGCTGGTCAAGTTTCGCGACCGCTGCCGCTTCATTAAGTCTTTGAAGTTAGGCCTGTCGATGTCTCTCGTGGCGTACAACCAGATTGCAGTCACTGTGCCCATGTACATCGCCCAGTTCTTTCCGCCCACGGCCGATTGCAGCTGGCAGGTGCATCTCGGGCTGCAGTCGTTGACATGTGCTCCTCGGCATGCCCTGTCTGATCACATGCTGGTGGGAATGAAGTCTCTCGGGGGAAAACTATCTCGGGCCAGGTCTCTCACGCGCGAAGCTCGGGCCGCTGCATATCGTGCTTCCCACGCCTCGTCGGTCTTTTTCGCCTGCATCGAGAAAATTGAGGACGCGTTCGATGACCCCGAATGCCATCTGGACGCTCATCTTCATCCCGCTTATACCAAGTTTTTCGTTTTAATGATGGCCCAGAACTATCGTGAGTTATCCAGAATCCCGTCCGCCCCCCACCGTCTTCGAGCGCGGGCTTCAGAAGAAAATGACCAAGCTTGTGCTCTCACATCAACCCCGGGTTCCGTTTCCAGAGCTCATCCTGAGGCGTCTCCAGTATTGGGCCTCGAGGTTTCCTGAAGTTGGCCAAGTTGGGGCTCCTGAAGCCCAACTGTGTTTCTCTCGGCAAAAAGTGGTCGGCCAGCATATTGCTCCCTTCGTTCAACTCAGTCTGCTGCGCGGTATATGTAACGCTTGGAATACCTCACGGAGATACCGCCAGGCCACTCTAGGATGCAGGTTCGGATGCCCATGTATTGCTGGTGACCAGATCGTGCATTACCTTGTCTGTCCAGCTCTTCTCGGAGTGATGCGTGCCAATCTGCCTAGGCTCCCACCGCGGTGGGGGGCGGAGGTGTTTGCTGGGCTCCTTCTTTTTTCTATGCCTCTCTCGTGCGATGAAATCGTCTCCATTGCCATAGCACACGACGTTCTTTTTAACACGTTTAACCAGCTCAGGTCCGAGGGGGCCCAAAGCACATCGCGAGCCATTCGGCTTGCTGCAGGCCGGTTCCGCCTTATGTGCCGACGGGGTGCCAGGGCGCGGTCTCTGGCGCGGCGATTGGGCATCTAGCGATGTGGGCGCCTCGGATGACCTGCCAGGTGGGATCGGGTATCCTTCTCCTCCTCCTCCTCCCCTTCCTCCTCCTCTTCCCTCTCCTCCTCAACATCTTCCTCCTCGTCCTCTTCCTCCTCCTCCTGGGGGCACTCTCGTGCCATCTTGGGCTTGCAGACGCCCGAAAGGCGAGAGCGCGAGCATCAGTCAAAAACCCATCGGACATCAATGATTGATGCCTCCTGATGCCCTCCTGAGGGTCCTCTTGGGGCCTCTTTGAGCGCATTGGGGTCGTCTTGGGCCGTTCTGAGGCCATCTTAGGTGCTCTTGAGGCCTCCCCGGCGTGTCGGAGCCCTTCTGGAGCAGTCTCAGAAAGCATTTGGGGGCATCCTGGCGGCCGCGGAGCGTGGGTTTTAGGCTCCGAGGGCCCAGGATGTGCGTTGATAAGCTCGCGGCCATCTCACCACCCTGTGCGTGCGACGCGGTTCTGGACCTCAGGGGACCGGGTAAAGGGAGAGGGGAGGCAGCCAATCTTCCCACACGCCTTTTCAATCCCGACAAGCAGGGTCGACAGGTCAACGCGTTCTTGGGGCAGAGACCGAACGAAGTGATCACCCTCATCTTCGAACAGCTCATATCAGTGGGTCGAACAAAAGCCGAGCAGTTTCAACACGTGCAGGATGCGCTGGTCTCAAGTGGTTTGGTGAACAAGTTGCATACGCAGGCCTCTTCCTGCTTCCTTCGTATCCTCAGTTATCTTTCCTCCCACTCATCCTCGATCTTCATCCCTCATCACTTCTCTTTCTTCCGCCTTCTCCTTCAGGCCCACGGACATCCATGGCCAACGCTTGATCAAATGAAGGGGAAAGTCGTGATCTTCAACTACTTGCATGACCCTTTGCACGAGTCGAATCCAGTGAGTTCAGGCATCGACGATGACAGCCGACGGTGGAACCACCACGCATTCTCGTTCATGGTTTCAAACAACTTCCAATATCCAGCTGCGTGTGGCAAGTCCGGCCACTGTGCCAGCCCAGCATTTTGGATGGCGATTTGTCGGGGGGGCGCACAGGAGACTGTAACGAGGGGCACGTTTTGCCCCCAGGCTTAATAGAGCCGCTAATATGTGTCATTATAGTTCGCGTCGTTTCGTTATTTATGTTTTCGTCCTCAGCGTCGGCCTCATCCACTCATAATGTTGAAGTGCATCCCTGTTCCTCATTCGTCACTTCCTCGTCTTCTTATTGTTATTAGTTGTTCTGTTATTGTTATTCGTTGTTTGCTCTCCCTTTTGCCTCATCCCCTGTTCGGCGACGATTGTAGCAACGACCAGATGGTTGTCACATGTGGCCGTCGGCCAGCCTGAGACTATCTTGAGTTACTGCGCGGCCGCTTTGAGGCGGTGTAGGAAGATGATGGGAATGATGATCGTGATGACGATGAGGATGAGCATGTTGAGGTGGAGGATAGTACATTACTTAGTGCGAGGGGCTTAATTTGCAAGCGGTGATTTCTCGAGCCATAGAACAGTTCGAAGAAGCACCCGCTTTCGAACCAATGATAAACTATATGCGGGGAGGGTTCACACCCGAGGCATTTAATTTCTATTATTGGAGGGGCTCTTCTGTGGTTGCCATTGCCAGATTGGGCTCTTCACTGGGAATTCTGACGACCGCAGCGCCGAGTTCGTACATCTGTGTAGGCAGGGATTGCATGCGGGACCGCAAACACGAATGCCGTGCTTCTTGATGCGCGTGGCCAAGTCCTGCACGCGGGACCGTTGGCACAAATCTGCATGAGATTCGTGTCGGCAGGGCCTGCGCGCGAGACCGTTGACACAAGTCTACATTGGGGCGTTTACGAATCTCGATTGCGCATGGCCTGCTTGCGGGACGCCGTTTTCAGATTCCGCATGCGTCTCTTAGGCAGGGCTTGTTCGCAGGACCCCCGAAGAGACGCACGGGGGCGAGAAAGACCCGGTTGATGTTGGAGCAAATTCTGGGCGCTGCGTCGACATGGGCCATGCGCGAAGTCTAGGAGCGTTGCGATGCTCACTCAACGCGGATCGTTTGTGGCTTTGTGGTTTACGACGGCTATAGCCCTGGGGGCGCCGACCGGATGCATTTGCCGGCAGGTGCCGTTGACGAGAGCTCTCGGACACGTGCTGCTAGCAGCGAGGCCAGGGCACGGCCTGCCCAGTGCCGTCCCGAGCCGTCCGGGGTACCTCTCGGGTCTGTCCTCCGAGCGTCGACGCTGCGAGCGTCGCCCAGACGGCCGTCACATGCGACACGCCGGGGAGCCGTCGGGCCGCCCAGGGAGCCTCGGCAGGGACGGCGACGCACGCAGGGAAGCATGCTGAGGGGGGAGGCCTCCCCAGAGGGTAGCAGGGACTCTGCCGGGCAGCCCTGGGCGTGCTACCACGCCTCGGCGTGCCGGGGGGCACTGCGGCGGACGCTGGCAGGAGCGATCTCCTCGGGGCGTCAGGGTGCACCCGCTACAATGGTCACCCAGACAGCGCGCTGCTCCTCGTGAACCACTTCATCACGGCGCCCGCGGCGAGTGCCGCCTGGGCGTCTGCGGTCAATTACTATTCGGACTTGAAGGGGCACGCGGAGAAGTGCCAGAACGAATACAGCAAGGTACCGAATTTCTTGTTGGTTGACTTTTGGTCCATAGGCGATTCGCTCCCAATGCTGCGGCGTATCTTGCATGATCCGCTTATCCGCGCTGCTCCTCCTCGTTTGTCTTTATCTGGCCTTGCACGGCTATGGCCCCCCCAAAGCCCATCCAAATCCAAACAGTATTGTTCACAGTAGTTGGTATAGTAGCATCGATCGCAGCAATCCCACCACACAGAGATCACGGCCGCGTGGCCCACTGTTGCTCGCAGTAGAGCCGCTATACTGTTCAGAGTGGTGTTGTTCGCAGCGGGCTGGCTCATAAGAGTGCAGCTCGCGCTCACTTGGCTCGCGGCGGCCCTCTTCATGTGGATGTGTTGGCGCATGCGCAGAGACACATGATAGGCAGGGCTCTGGCCGATAAGGCGTTCGGCGTTCGGGATAGATTAAGCGTGCTCACCCCCACTCTTTGCCAATGGTCATGGCGCTCGTGAACATTTGTCCTTCAACCCTGAGGCATCAAAAACGTTCTGACGTCGTGGCGCTTGCACGCCTCAACGGCAACGGTGCACCACGAGACCACAGGGGCACCATGGCGGAGGTATTTGTTCTGCACGTATCGTGGTTCCCGCCCAAGCGCATCCAGAAGCGAGCTGGCGTGAGAAGAGGGAGAGAGCAATCAACCTAAGCAGCCCTCCAACAATTGCCAACGTGGGACGCTCAGGGAACATCTTAGAGGCTCCTTGGATCCATCTTCTTGAACTCTTGGGTATTGTTGCTCACGCAGCTTGCCGAACAGGGTGCTGTTGAGGTAGAAGCTAGGTCCGGCCGAGGGAGACCGAAGAAGAGACATCCTCAAACAGGTTGTTTCGCTTGAGACATCCTCGCGAAACTCGTTTCCGAGATGGCCGAAATCAGGCGTCTCGTCTAAGACATCCTCGCAATTCTGGTCTTCGAGATGCCGCGCGAGAAGGGGGCCAGCGCGTTTCGCCCGAGATATCATAGGAATTCTGATGTCCGAGATGCCGCGCGCGTGAGGTGATCTTCGCGTGTCGCCTGAAACATCCTCACAACTCTGGGCTCCGAGGTGCTGCGCGCGAGGTGGTCCGGCGCGTTTCGTTTGAGACATCCTCGCAGTTGTGGGCCCTAAGGTGCTGCGCGCGAGATGGTCTGGCCCGTTTTGCCTGAGACATCCTCGCAGTTGTGGGCGCTAGGATGCTGCGCGCGAGGTGCTTCATTCTGCTTCGGTGGACGCATCTTCGCGGATCTCGGTTCCGAGATGTCACGCGCGAGGTGGTCCAGCCCGTTTCGCTTGAGACATATTCGCAACTTTGGGCTCCAAGATGTCGCGCGCGGGGTGGTCTGGGGCGTTTCGCCTGAGACATCCTTGCAGTTATTGGCTCCAAGATACCGCGCGAGAGGTAGCCTGGCCCGTGTCGCCTGCGACATCGTCGCAACTCTGGGCTCTGAGAAGGTGTGCGCGAGGTGGCCCGATGCGTTTCGGCCGAGACATCCTCGCAACTAGGGGCTCCGACATGCTGCGCGCGAGGTGGTCCGGCGCGTTTCGCGCGAGACAGCCTAGAACTTCTGGGCTCCGAGAGGGAGGAGGGAGGAGGGGTCAGGCCCAAGCGAACCTTTTGATTACGTTTCTGTTGTCCGATTATGCTTCTGGGAGGTGTCTGGGCGCCGCCTGATCCTCGCAACTCTGAGCTCCAAGACGTCGCGCGCGAGGTGGTCCTGTCCGTTCCGTCTGAGATATTCTCGCAGCTGGTCTCTGCGACGCCGCGCGCGTGGTGGTCTGGCCCGTTTCGCCAGAGACGTCCTACGGTAGGTTTGCGTCGTGTCGACCAGCGGCGACCCCAGCGCGGGCGTTCAAGGTTGAACGCCGCCGGCGACCCAGAATCGATCGATGTTGAACGATCGGACGTTGCGGAGACGGCCGATCGTTCAAGGTTGAACGATCCCCGCGGTGTCAGGAACCAACGCCGGGGTCGACACGACACGAACCTACCGTAGCAGTTCTGGGCCCCGACGTGCTGCGAGCGAGGTCCAGCGCGTGTCGCCTGGTACAGCCTCGAACGACTGGGCTCCGAGAGCAAGGGCTCCCACGAGGGCGCGAAGTTATTCGCGCTTCGCGCTTCGCGGTCCTCGTTCCTCCTCCTCGTCCTCCTTTTCTCCCTTTGGGGGGGCGGCGCGAGGGCGCGAAGTTATTCGCGCTTCGCGCTTCGCGCAGCGCGAAGCGCGAAGTTGGGAGCCCTTGGAGAGGGAGGAAGGAGCAGGGAGGAGGGGTCAGACCCAAGCGAACGATGCGATGCCATTTCTGTTGTCGAATTATGCTCTGGGAGGTGTCTGGGCGCTGCCTGATCCTGGCAACTCGGAGCTCCCAGATGTCGCGCGGGAGGTAATCCAGCCCGTTTGCTTCGTCTGAGACATGTTCGCAACTCTGGGCTGCGAGATGCTGCGCGAGAGGTGGTCCGGCCTGCTTCGCACGAGACAGCATCGCAAGTCGGAGCTCCGAGATGCTGCGCGCGAGGTGGCCTGGGCCCGTTTCGCCTGAGACACCCCCCAGATCTCGGGCCCCGAGAGGGAGGGGGGAGGAGGAGGGGGGGGAGGAGGGGGGAGGGGAGGGAGGGGGAGGGGAGGGAGAGGGGGGGGAGGGGGAGGAGAGGGGGGGGAGGAGGAGGGGAGAGGGAGGGGGGGGGAGGAGGGGGGAGGGGTCAGATACAAACGAACCACTTGATTCCTCTTGTGTTGTCGGCTTGTGCTTTGGGAGGGGCCTGGGCGCCCCTGGCCCGGCGGAGGAGGCAGCTAGCGCTGACGCGCGGCCGCGATGCACTGGTCAGCTCCAAAGAGCCACGCTTGAGCAAGTCGTGGAGGTGCTTCGAGCGAGAGCGCGGTGAGCATGGAGGGAGCAGGATGGGGCAGGAGACAGGGAGGATGAAGCAGACAGTGAACGATGGATACGGGACCAGGCCCAAACGATTTGTTTGCGGGCATCCATCATCCATGGGGAGGACGCCCCTTGGAAGCGGAATCGAGAGTGCGAAGGCATCCTAGCATGGCGGAGGAAGCGGAGACGAGGATAGACGAGGGGGAAAAGGAGAAGGAAGAGAAGGGCAATGATTTAAAATGACGGGGAGGACGAGGAGAAGGGGGAGGAGGAGGTATGCGAGGACGAGGAGGAGGAGAGGAAGAGGGGGAGCAGTGAGAGGAGGATGAGGATGAGGAGGAGCAGGAGCAGGAGAAGCAAGAGGACCACTGCGAAGAGGAGGAGGAGGAGGAGGAGGAGGACGCGGAACACGAGAAGGAGTACGAGGCATACAAGGAGGAACACGGCGAGCAGATGGAGGAGCAGGAGGACGAGCAGATGGAGTGCGATGAGGAGGTAGAGGATTAGGAGGAGAATAAGGATGACGAGGGAAACGCCGAGGAGGAATAGCACCAGGAGAATGAGGAGGATTCGTCTGAGGAGGGGGGCGAAGGAGGAGTGAGATGAGGAGGTATAGAAGGAGGAGGAGGAGGAAGACCAGGAGGATCAGGATGAGGAGGACGACGATGATGAGGAGGAGGAGGATGAGGAGGAGCGGGAGAAAGGGAGGAGGTGGATGATGAGGAGGAGGTGTAGTGGAATAGTGGAGGGCGAGAAGCATAATGACGTAGATGCGGAGGAGGACGACGACGACGATGACGAAAAGCTCGACGACGACGCCGAGAGCGCAAGCGGATCAGGAGCAGGAGGACGCGCGAACACAGAGGAGCCACCTTGACTCAACAATTGCTGGTTTCGGATGCTGGACCCTGGCTAAATTTGGAAGACAATGTGTTGTCTTTGGGGCCTTTTTGGGACCATGCTGGAGACCATCGGCCGAAGAAGAGATTAGCGAAGGGCCCAACTGTGTGTAGCGCATGGGGGCGGTCTTCTTTTACATGTACGTATGCACGCATGTTTCTATACGCTTGTATGCAAATATCACATGGCCGTCGGCCCCATCCCGCCACAGTGCCCAGGTAGTGGATGTAAGCCCTATTGGATGTTCGTTGGAGGCCTCTCGGGGGCCTCTTGGAGGCAGTATGGAAGCCTCATAAGGGGGGCGTTTCGGAGCCTTCTTGAGCCTTTGGGGGTGCCTCTTGGGGGCCTCTTGGGGCTTTTGGGGGGCCCCTTGTGGGCCTGTTGAGGCCTCCTGGGCGCCTCTTGGGGCCTCCTGGACGCTTCTTGGAGCGGAAGGCTTGATTTTCGGTTCGCGTTCCCTCTCTTGGGTCCCTTTTGGGGCCGTCTTGGGCGCCTCTTGGGCCGTCTTGGGGCGCTCTGAGGCCGTTTCGGGCCTCTCTTGGAGGCCTCTTGGGCAGTTTTGGGATGGTCTTGGGGGCCTCTTGGTTGCTTGGAGCGTAGGAAAGCCGAAAAGGCAAACCCATGGAAATCAGTGATTTGTGCCTCCTCGGGGCTCTCTTGGGAGGCCTCTGGAATGCCTCTTGGGGCGTTTTGGGGGCCTCTTGGGCCGTTGCGAGGCCGTCTTGGACGTCTTGGGCCGATCTTTGTGCGTCTCGGGGCCCCTCTGGACCGTCTTGGAGGCCGCTCGGGGCCCCATTGTGCCCGTCTTGGGGCCCTCTCGTGCCCGAAGACGTCGTGCGACAAGATGCCGGCTACCCACAGGGGGCACGCGGGCAGCCCCAAGAGGTTTCTGGATTCGGGGTCCGGGCCTTTGAAAGACTGTTCAGTACTGCCGAATCGCTCGCTGAATCGATTCTGACTCTCAGAGCCCCGAATCATCAGGGGTAACTCGGGTCAGGGATAACTCGGGTTCGTTTTTCGGGAATCCAAACCCGAGTTACCCCGGACCCGAGTTACCCCGGATAACTCGGGCGTCCAGAGCCCCGAATCATCAGGGGTAACTCGGGTCAGGGGTAACTCGGGTTTCTTTTTCGGGAGTCCAAACCCGAGTTACCCCGGACCCGAGTTACCCCGGATAACTCGGGCGCCCAAGACTCGCGCTGGCTTCGGGTCCCCACTCGCCTTCGCCCCCAGCATTGCCCCTCGTGGAAACTGCGACAGGCGATGTCATCGCGGTCGCACTGCAGCTGAACGAGGACATCAATCCCAGCAGCTATCCCGCGATACCAGCCTCTTCGTATATTACTGGCGACGGCGGTGCCGGGGCCATTGAGGTGGACAATGCTGGGATCACGAGGTACGTGGGATACGTGCCGGTGAACCTCAACGGAGGTGGATTTATTTGCCAGGCATCCAGCCTCCAGCCAGGGGCGCAGGAGGAGGAAGAGGAGCGATAAATGGAGGGAGGGGGAGATGACAGAGGAGGATGGCTTGGAGGGGAGGGAGAGGAGGGAGAAGGGGGCGAAATGAAAAATGTGTGGAGGGCAGAGGGAATGAGGAGCAGGGGGCGGAAGAAGGGGGGAAGGTCCTCCTGTCCTAGGTCCTTCCTTCAGAATTCAGAGCGAGATAATCCGGCGGCATGAAAACCCGCACGAGATCTCGATTTTAAGAAGAGCTGTCTTCCATGACTGTATTTGTCGGAGCTTGAAGTTCATGGACCCCACGACGTAGGGGAGTCATGGGCGAAAGAGTTGAAAATGGACCGCCCACCAATCGTAGGAAAACCCGGAAATTTTACATTTGGGGGCAACGAAAAAGAAAACGTTGCGAATACGCGAGCAATAGGCGCCCCATCCGTGCACCCATGGAAAAAACAACAAGCAAAAACGATTCGACCTGTATTGACACAATGTGTGGTGACGTCTCGGCCCAAACGCCCAGGCTGCCCTATGGGCACGTCTTGTGGTCCAACAAGCAGGAAATCAACGCAAGGAAGGGTATGAAATAAGAGAGGGGGAAGGTAGGAGGAGAAGGAGGAGGAAGAGGAGGAGGAGGAGGAGGAGGAGGAGCAGGAACATCGGCAGCAAGAAACGGGAGGAGGAGAAGGAAGAGACAAGTGGAGGTGGAGGGGGAGAGGAGGAGGAGGAGGAGGAGGAGGAGGAGGAGAGGAGGAAGAGAGATAGAGAGGCGGACAGGGGGGGGGGGGGGGGGGGGGGAGAAAAGAAGAGCACGAGAGCTCGCCCGCGAGGCCTCCAGCCTGGCCGACGTCTGGCAGCCTGGGCCGACCGCGCTCCTCTCGAGCTGCGGCGCTGTCTGGACCACGGGCGCGCCCGCTCCGCCAGCCAAGTGCGTTCCCCTCCCGCCCTCCTCCTGCTCGCCGCCCCCCCCCCCATCCCCCCCCCCCTTCCCTCCGGGTTTTCCCCCCCCCCTCCCCCAGTATCCGCCCTGCCTTGCCCACTTGGCATCGCTCGGCCGCGTGCCCCCTTTTCTTTTCTTGGCGAGGACGATCGAGGAGCATCACCAGGCAAAACAACAAAAACAAACACGCATGACATCGACAAATGCACGATGAGTGGACGTCCGAGCGATGGCAAGACCCTGCCCTGCCCACCGTCCCCCATCTCGCAATCGCCGCTTCCACGCTTCCCCCCCCCCCCCCCCCAGCCTTTCGGAGGCCCACGCCTTTGCTATCGCGAACTGTTCGGAAAGGCCGTGCGATAGCGAGCCATTCCCCAAAGGCACGGAACCATTCCCCGTCTTCTGGTGCCGCCATGGCTGGCCGCAGTGGTGTTCCTTCTGACGGGCTTGTCAACCGCTGGAATCGCTCCCGTCGCCCCAAATCGGTGCCTCCTCTTCAACCTGGTCTTCAGCCTGCTGGTGGAACAGGAAAGGGTTTTTCCAAAGGAGGTGGTGGCCAGCAGCAGCAGCAGCAGCAGCAGCTGGTACAGGAGCGATGCGTTTGCTGCCAGTGTGGGTGCAAGAAGAATTTGGCGACGTGGTCGTGGTGTAAGCATTGTAAGTCGCCATGGTCACCGGCATGCGAATGGACATATTCTCCCACCAAGGATGGCACACCAGCCAAAGACAAGTCTTCTCTTGCGTTGGATGGGTTGTTTCCAGATGGAATTGATAAACTTGCTGTGCTCCCCGGGCAAGGAGGGGATGCCGAGGGAGGTGCCAAGTATCCAGCCGCGGCACAGGTTCGACGTTCGCCCTCCCCCACGCAGTCCCTGCAGTTCCAGGCCAACTCTGCGCACAGCAAGCTCAGACCGACGGAGAAGCGGCTTCAAGCTGCCCTCATCAAGTACGAGGAGCAGGATAGCACTTTCAGACGTCAACGGGCAGAGACCGCCTCCTTGCGAAAGGAGTTCCAGACGGCTGAAGACATTCACAAAACTCTCATTGGTAAGCTTGCTCGTGAGCACTCCTCTGGTTGCGCAGTGCTTGGACGGGAAGGCCGGCGACGTGCTCACTATCGACGTGGGCTTCCTCAACGTCGACGACGCGGAGTACGAAGTCTCGCCTCAAGATCGCGAGGAGCTTGACCGTCGCTCCAAGCAGCTGGCCGACGGAGTCAAGCACCTTTGCTCTACTCTGTTCAAGCAGGCCAGCGACCAAGCCAAGAAAGCACGCGAAGATCATGAGAAACATCTGCGGCGCCTCGCGGCCAAGACACGCCGCCAGGGCGACGTTCATGCGGCAGCCCAACCAGCAACACCTGCAGCAGAGGCCGACGGCGCAACTGGCGCTGGCGACGGAGCTGCAGCAGCCGCAGCAGCAGCATCGGCGACGCCTAGTGGTGGAGCAGCTCCGGCAGGAGGAGCTGCTGTACCAGCGAAGGCACCTGAGGCCCAGAGCCCGCCGCCAGAGCCTGTGCGTGAGTTTTCCACGGCAGAGCGCAAGGCTCGCGCCGACGCCGCGCTCGCAGCCACAGCAGATTCAGATGGTGATCTCCCCCCTGCATAGGCCACCGCCTAGATGCAGGGGGGGCGACTCTAATCACACGTTTCGCACATTTCCCACGGCCTGTCGGCCTTATTTCCGTCGTTCCCTCCGCGCTCATGATGTCCGTTACCAAGGCCGAGGGTGCCGTCGGAATGCGGTGCGTCACTCTTTGTGGAGGTCGCAACGAGTTTGTCGGAAGGTTGCCCAGGTCTTGGCTTGCTGCAGCCACGAAGCCTGCCAGTTTTGTCTGCCCTCTGACGGCCTATCCTGCCCTGGCCTCTCCTGGGCCTGATTCTCCGGTGGTTATGGTGCCTGGTCCTAGGATTTCCACTGCCCCCCTTTCCTCGCCTGTGACCCCAGGTCCCACGCGCGGCCCCGCGGTGTCCGACGGGCTGAGCTCGATTGAGCTAGTTGTTCGCAGTATCAACTGCAACAGCTGGATCACTCTCAAGAAGATGTTTCCTGACACGCCTGCTACGGTTCTCCTGGTTCAGGGGCACAGGCTCGCCTCCAGTGAAGGAGTACACGTCGCTTCTCAGTGGCGCGCTCGCAACGGTTGGGAGAGATTGTGGGCCCCTGCCGTTTCGACGGATGGAGACACGTCAGGAGGTGCTGCGGCGCTCGCCAAATCCTTTTCTCGGACTGTTCCCCCCTTCGGATGGGGCATAGCATTGCCAAGGGCCACCTCTCTCAAGCGAAGGCGCAAATCCCAGGAGGTTTCACCTTCGACGCTTTCTCGGTTTACTTGTGCGACAGCGAAGGCACATCGGATCGCAACTTGGATCTTCTCTGTCAGTTAGGCGCGCGCAGGCCGCTCCCGCCTCTTTTGTCATAGGAGGAGACCGGAACATGTCTCCCGACATGCTCCGCTCTACTAAGTTTGCGTCGAAGCTCCAGGGCCAGCTGATTCGCGCCCCTGGCCGCGCCCACTTTGGAACATGCGACCCTTCCACCCTTGATTTCTGTGCGCAGTGGGGGCCTCGGCAAGGCCTTCCGTAAGTGTTCGGTTCTTCACAGCGCGGTTTTGAGTCCGCATCGCCCTGTGGACTTAGCCTTCCACAAGTCCTCTGCGTCTTTGGAGGCACTATGTTTCAGGAAGCCCCCCCCCCCCTCCGAAGGAGCCCGTTTTCGGTCCGAGGCCTGAGCTCCCAAACTAGATTCATGTTACCACTCGTGCCCAGGCCGGCATCGATGCTGTCGCCGCGGGCGACGCCGCCGCTGCTTTCAGTCATTTGCCCCCAGGCTACGCGGCATGGGCCCATGGTGCCGAGGCCGAGCTGGCGCAGATAACGGGGGCGGAGCTGGCGGTCAAGGGCGCCAGAAGCAAGGGGCCGCAGCCCATGTGGGAAATTGCTGTGGGAAGGGACGGACAACCCAGGTATCCTGAGCATCGTGCCATCCTGTGGCTGGTGCCTCAGTTTCGCGCCTGTCTTAGTCTGCGCTGTTCGGGCCAAGGTTCAGGCCCTTTGGTTTCGAGGATAGGCGCCCTGCTCTGTGCCCCGCCTGCCCAAGTCAAGCGTCATTATTCCATGTCCCCTGGCTCCTTCGAACGCGCGCGCGCCTTCATTGCGGCGTCGGAAGGTAGGCAGACGTCTTCGGAGCAGATTGTTTCCGCCCAAGTTCTCCTGGAAGTCATTTCAGGTGCTGCTGCCCAGGCGGATGCTACCGTCAAGACGAGTGCCCAGGCTGATCGGCGCGCGTGGCCCACTAAGGGTATCGATCAGGGTGCTCGACATGTCCATGCCATTGCGATGGGCCCCACTCCTTGGGTCCCCACTACCACTTTGTCCAGGGATGTCGTGACCGACCCCCTTGGCTCGTTGGCCAGTGAAGGGGGCGAGTTTTCTTCGTTTTGTGGGTCTGGCGTCGGCAACCTGGACCCCCCTTCTTCGATTTCCTCTCTCCCTCGGGCTACGCCAGACGAGCTCAGAGAGGCCCCTAAAACATATAAAAAGACTTCGGCCGTCACCCACGACGGAATTGGCTGCAGGCATTTCCAGTTCTTGTGTGACGATGGCCTCGTTGCTCGGGGCATGCTATCTGAGTTAATGGAGTCGCTCGGCCAGCTGCCCAGACAGATCAGCGCCGTGCTTCTCGCCATGCTCACGAAACCCACTGGCGGCTACAGGCCGGTAGGGGTGGTCTGCGCCCGGTACAGGGTGCGGGGCCGTCCCCGACGGCCTCATGCCCTGTCCCGGGAGCAGCAACGCCCTCGTCGGCACTGGGCCGCTGGCGCGTTTCGCGGAGCACCGGGCGCGGCCTGGAGGCAGCTGGTTCGCGCCGAAGCTGGCACCTCCAGGAAGGAAGTTAGCGCCAATGTTTTTTTATGATACGCGCAAGCATTCTGCAATTATCCACTTGGGCACCCTCGCTGCGCGTCGCGTGCTAGTTGTCGTTCCTCAGGTGCTCACTCGGCTCACTCTTCTCGCTTATCGACGCGGCGGGGTTGCGTCGATAGCTGGGCTCTTGGATGGCCCATACTTCGTGGACAACGGAGGTATAGCAGGGCGCTGTATGGCGACCACCCATATCAGAGTGCACGCCACGTCTCCCTTTAATACCATCCCCATCCATCCCCCCCGCGAGTTCGACGTGTATCTTGATGGCACGAGCATCTCATGCACTGGCACTTCCAAACATGTCATTTCGTGTCTTGTGTCCTCTACTGCTGCGCTCCATCATGCGATCACTGCCCAGTTCTCGCTAGATACAATATGCACGGTTGCCTCGTGCAAAGCACTTGGCCATGATCTTTTATCTGCGCTTGGCCAGCTAGGAGGCAGAGTCAGCGACGCTACGGTTGTCCTCGGAGTGGGTTACACCGCGGGAGCTGCGGTGCGCGTCTCTGGGCGACGCCCCAAGCTTAAAGCCCGAGTCGCTCTGGCCGGGCGGAAGGCTCGCCGTCTCAAGCGGCAATCGGGAAACTTCGGTCGCCGAGCCCTGAGAGAGCACGCGCGCGGTCCTCTCCCTGGAGGGACGCACGGCGCAGACATTCTTGGAGTCAGCGACCAAGTTCTGTTTACGATGAGAAGGCAAGCGTTCTCTACTGTCAAGCCTTCATCGAAATGGCGTTCTCTCACTGCTGCCAGCATTCTGACCCATGCTGGCGCGCTGCTTTGCGCTCCGCTGCCGAGGTGGGGCGAAGAGATATGGCTGGCTCAGATTCGTGTTCATCCCTTCTCTATCCAGCTCCCTGACTTAAGAAGCAGCTGGCAGTCCGTCTTTGCTCTCCCGTATGTTGCTTGGTCCTCTTTTCGTGGCCCCCTCTCTGCGCTTCGGCTCACTCTCGTGCGCTTAGGCTGGGTCATGAACAACTACATTATGATTGCGGACGATCGCGGTGATACCTTCAGTTTAGACCTGACCCCCCCCCCCCCCC